TTTTWWTWTWTTTWTTTTATTTTACTTTTATTTTACCTTGTCAGTGTACTAGAAGATCTTACCAACTAAATCTTACGCTCGCAAATGTTTTGAAAACTTAAACTTAGACATTTTTTGCTTCATTAGGAAGTTGCGCAGGCCTTGAGAAAGAGACAGGTTAACCATGTTGACAGACAACTGATTTTCTTTTTATTCTTGTCGTAGACAATATAACGCAATCCTTTTCTAACGAGACGACTTTCTGACGTCAAAGCAATTGAACAATGAGTAGGTATCGATCCATGAAAACACTATCACAGATAGTCAATTATAACTGTTTTGCTTAAATTCGACTTTGAAGCCGTAAGTCAAAACCAAAATCGGATTAAAGCATTACTTGTGCGCATTTTATCAACAAGATCATCTCATAACCTTCAAATCGCGGCTCTCAGCTTGATAATCAGCCGCCTTAAGATGAAGAGCGTGTGTAGCAGGGATTTCCATGTCTCCTTCACTAGTCACAAAGGAGAAAAGAATGCAAAAAGAGAGAGAAATAATGGTCTACCTTAACAACTTTCCAGCGAATGTCGGGTGTTCTGGGTTCATCCTTTGTAGATGTAGTTGTTTTCACTAACGGATGGATTTTCAAGAGAGGACATTAGCCGTTCTGTCACGAAAGATCTCGTTAACATAACCCTCTAACCGCAAGCCAGGTGGCCCGATAGAGAACTATCCGAACTCCCTCGGCGAGATACACAAAGAGCTTAGTAGTCTTTATTGTGACATGGACTATTTGAACGTAGCGACAACTTGCCGACGGCGCCAWGATCAGTATATTGTTCCTAATGACATTACTGCGCTTCATAAGTCGATCAAGGTTTTTTTTTTCATGCAAGGGAATTGTTATCAAATAATCATCTAGCCTGTGCAGCGGGTGATTAGATTGAAACTAAAAAAATAWTCACATCTAGACATTGGTAGTCGATTAGTTCCTTGTGAGGAAAATAATCAATTACTGTATTTACAAGTATTTATACAGAAAGTGCGTCAATGAATGTCCYGTCCTTCCCTCGCTGATTGAAGCAGCGAAGAGATAGACGGGAAACAMCTAGGCAAAGAGCATACTTGAAATTGCAGTTTTGGTTTATTAGCRTGCTTTTTATCCGTGGGAGGATTACCTAAAGGGGCCACTTTAAAATCGAAAACTAATACACACTTCAAAACACTTGAGAAAAAAACAGCCTTTTTCTTGCTAAAATGTTGTATTGAAATTCTAAGAGGTACTTAGCATGACAACCTACTTGCTTACGTCTCCGGTYTGTATCGACATCGTCATTACTGGAATAATTGTCTGCGTTACTTGATGGAAAACGATGAACTTGAAAATATTGTACCGAGAATATCAAAAAGAACGATGAAAACCATTAGATAGTAATGAATAACAACATGCCTGCTAAGAATGCCAATATCATGATAGAAAATATCAGACTCTTACTGATCAGAAAGGGAAACAACTGAAAGAGAAAAGAGGAAGAAAATAAATGAAGGGAAAAATCACTGTTATGCATGAGATGTGACCAGAATCAAGATGGCGGCTTTCAAGCTTCCTGTTTTGCAAACACCAAAGAAAATGACTGAATGTGTTGTACATTTTATGACATAAAGACAAGAAACAAGAAGTCTCTTGTGGTGAATAAAGTTTGTTTATGTAAAAAGCCTTTGGCAATGTCCGCTGTTTTTTGTCATTTATTTTTTTGTCGGTTTTGAACTGACAGTACCGCTGACCAGCCAATACAGTAATTTACTCTGAGAATACCGGCACTTTTTTTTCCTGTTTCTTGATTTGATGCGGTTTAAGATATAATATCACTCAATGCGCCAACAGCATGCAATAGGCATAGATTAGTACTCATGACCGGTGATATCACGGATCATGAAGTAGTGCACATGTTATTTTCGCGTGTTTTAGAGGAAAAACAATTGAGTTGGAATTTAGAGAGGTGTTAATGTGCTTTTAGGCAAAATCAATAMGATAAAAATACCATTTGAATCGTGGAAACATTTCTATTTACTGTTGCACTAAACCTTTTTCTGTATTGGCGCACTGTRGAGGTCGACGCGCTAACGATCGCTTCCGCGTTTTGGCGGGAAACAATTAAATGGTTTCCCAGCTGACAACATCAAGCTAAGGAAGCTTTTTTCGACCAATCAGATTGGTCTCAAGATGGTTTCCATACTGATGGACAGCACGTATCCTTGGTCTTGGTCTCAGGCTTAAGGCTAATAAATGCTGGGGCCGAAGTATTGTTGGCCATAATTTGTCAGACATAAATTCCTTGTGCGAATTATTTAAAAACATTTTGGTCTCAAAAAAACATCTAGATACTCTCTTAAAAAATGATGATTGCATTAGTTTCAAGGACAAAATCTAACACGAAGTATATTTTTGTGATACTGTTCCGAGAACATTGAATCAGTATGTTTTATACATTTACTAGATTTCCCCGCGCCCTGCCAAATTCTTGGACTTTTACTTACAAAACTCAGAATATTCTATTTTAGATAATGGTTTACATCCAAAACCACTGTTAAGTTTTAAGTTCCTATTGTTGAAACCCAAACATTGACTTTCTTGACGGTTAGAAYACGACTCATCACCCCTTTGTATGACACTCAAAGTTTCGGGGCTTTAAAAAAGATTGAAATTATTGAAAGGGCACGTCTAATAAGGRATGTATTCATTGATTATATAGTGTARATCCATTCAAAGTACCTCGGACATAAATGCTCGATTTACCGATCTGAACGAACAAAACCGCGATGAACCCCGARCAATTGTTTTTAAAAATATCGAACTTTGAAAACAGATTGTTGAAAATAACGATTAACGGGTTATTTAGTGATAATTTTATTATTATGAAAAGAATAGATCCACGTTGCCTAGTCAATCGATTTGTAAGATTAAATGCTAACATTTCATATATGTCAGCTGAACAAAYAGTACAAATTTAATTTAGAATGTCAAAATCAGTATTGTGATCAAGATGTTCGCGATTTATTCTGAATGAAATAAGAATTACAGYAAACGAACTAAATTACCGATCTTATCCATCGTCTTACCGKCTCAGCTGACCGCACAACGGGGAAACTGATGCTGTGGTAAATAATTCGAGTTACTCATAATATAAGTGCTATTCAAATCCCTTTTCCCATTTTCTAATTGATTCTTACGACTTTGTTTACAACCCGTTGGTTTGTCGCAGTGTACCTGCAAAGAGACACGATCCCAGATCGAAGCTACTCGCGATTGCTACAGTTCTGACAGTTTTGCAGAATAAGGAAAGAGAATCTCTATTCATCGTCCTTCACGATATTTCTCTATGAATATAGAGTTGCAGCATAAAAAAAGATTCACACACGTATTATCTGGGGTGATCTGTACAATTAAATATGCTCCGCTCCAGTTATTGTACCTTGTTAATCTTAAGATTATTAGTGTTATCATACAAAGTCCTTGAGTGAAATAATATTTCTATGTACAGCTAATAAAAGGTTTTTATTAAAAGTCATTTCCTATAAAGTTATCACTTAGATTATATCTCATAAAAGTATAAAAGCAAACTTTTCTCGATTTACTGCCCTCAAGCGAATCTTTTTAACATGAAAATGAAAATGTCCCAAAGAATAAAATCAATATTTTGGGATGATAACATTTGGAAGTATAATCTTACCTTATACCAATATTTTGGGACTGTATTTCACACGAAATGACGGCTTTACTGTGTAAGGGATCCTGAACGTCCTGAACTGCCTTCCACCTTAAAAGGAAATGTCAGTCAACAATTAGCCAATCAGAACAATTCATGAAAAATAGTGTTTTTAAATACGAGAATAAAAGTGATATATTAATACTCAAAACCAATCTCTAGAAATTAGATGTTTAAAATAGTTAACTTACTTTACTTTGAGTCAGAATAATGTCTGATGACAAAAGCAAAAGTACCCGCAAAACGTTGGAAATCAATTTTCACACCTAAATGATTTCAATTTTTTACATATTTAATTTCGAAAGAGAGCTAACTATTGCTTTTCCACATATTACAGTATGGTTTGAAGGCAAGTGATGTAGTTGGAGGTTTTCCTCGTGTTTTCACTAAAACTTTAAACATTTTGTGCACAAACAGAAAGGAGAGATTCTCCATGGAGTGTGCATATAATTTTGGTGTATCAATTTTGGTAAAAACAATGATTTGATATTGCAGCCTCGGGGAATTAAATTCATCAAAATATCTCATGAGACGGAAATGAATCCCAGCGACAAT